CTTGTGTTTCTATGGGCATGTCTTTTGTTAATTTTGTGAAAATTTCTCCTACAATCCTGTTGAAGATCTGGTCCATACCTTTATCCTGAGATTCTTCTCTTTCCTGTAAGCCTATGATTCATAAGTTTGGTCTTTTTATGGTGTCACACAATTCCTGCATATTCCATTCTTGTGTTTTCTTAAATTTTTCATGATCTTTGCTTGAGTGGCCTAATTCATCCACTTTATCTTCCACTTTTGATATTCTGTTTCCATTTCATTCATCCTATTGGTGAGGGAGGCTCCCATCATTTCTAATCAGCTTACTGAGTGTTTCACTTCCTTCTTCATTTCAGCCTGAGTATTCTTCAGTATTTCTAACTCTTTTCTGAATTCATTCAGAAGTTTATCCCTATCTTCTTTCATTTCTTTGATTCCTTTCTTTATGTGTTCTTTAAATTCACTGAATTTGTGCTGGAGAGATGGCTCAGCAGTTAAGAACACTGGTTGTTCTTGCAGAAGACCCGGGTTCAGTTCCCAGCACCCACATGGCAGCTAACAACTGTCTGTAACTCCAGTTCCAGGGGATCCAATGGCCTCTTCTGTCCTCCACAGGCATTGCACAACATGGGTGCACTTACCTGTATGCAGGCAATACAGGCATGCACATAAAATAATAATAATAATTTTTTTGTTTTTTTGAGACAGGGCCTCCATGTAGTCCCAGCTGTCCTGGAACTCCCTATGTAGACCAGGCTGGCCTTGAACTCACAGAGATCCACCTGCCTTCCGAGTGCTGGGACTAAAGGTGTGCACCACCACTCCTGGCATAAAATATTTCTTTAAAAATTCACTGAATTCTTTCATCATGTTTATAATTGTTCTTTTGAGTTCCATGTCCTGTGTTATCTCTAGGGCTTCTCATAGTACTCCTCTAGAGGACTGTTGGTACTTGGTGAGGATATATTATTTTGGTTTTTGATGTTATTATTTTTTCTCTGTGACTTTGACACATGGATTTCTTTGGTAGTTTCTGATTCTTGTGTGAGACTCAAGCCTTCCCCAGGCTTCAGTCCTCTCTTTTGATTTTATATTGGAGTGGCCAAATTGCTTTCATCTTGCTGCTCAGGAGTTCCCACAAAGGCCCAAGTCAGATGAGGATCAAATGCTCTCAGGCTTTCTCCTGAGGTCTGGATCCCTCCAGGAAAGATGCTGGCCTCAGGAATTTGAGGGCTGAGCTGGCCTGGGAGCAGGGCCCAGGAAAGATGCTGGCCCCCAGGGATGCAAAGGGAGATGGGGATGAGAAGAGGCCTGAGGGCTCCTAGGGACTTTGGGGAGGAATTAGGTTGGTCTAGATGCAAAGGATCAGGAAGCAGTGGGGAATTTGGACCAAAAGGTCAATCCAGAGGTCTGGGGTGTCACAACAAGAGATGGGCCAGTCCCCCTGCTAGGAGGAGAGATGGGGTTGGGGAGCTTGGAGGGTGAATGAGGCTGGGGGAGTCAAGGCGCAGTGGGCACAGCCAAATTTACCCAGGCAAGCTGATGGCTCCAGGAAGCTGTGTCTGCCTACATGTATTTAAGAGCACCTGTGTTGTACAGTGCCCACAGAGGACAGAAGAGGGTGCTGGATTCCCTGGAACTGGAGTTACAGATGGTTGTTAGCTGCCATATGGGTGCTGGGAATTGAACCCGGGCCCTCTGCAAGAGCAGTCAGTGCTCTTAACCACTGGGCCATCTCTCCAGCCATTCTTTCTTTTCTTCTTTCTATCCTTTTTTTTGTCCAGACCATTTATTGAGATGGTTCTTTCCCCCATTGAATTACCTTGACACTCAATCAGTGATCACTTATTTACATATTATTAGGTTAGGTGTTCATTTCCTCTTTACCTCTCTGCAGGATTGACAGCATCGACCATTACCTTCAAGTGCTCTCCTCTCTTGATTCTCCTACTTAGGTTACTCTTCCCTCTCAGTCTTTATAGGGTCCTCGTCTTCTACTAAACTATAAAATAGTGGGTTTTCAGTTACTGTGGCTGATAAAAGTTACAATAAAACTTAGTGTTATAATTAAAGTCATTTATTATACTGAAGTTTCTTTGGGTCAGAACTTCAGATGGGTACAGCAGAGTCCCCATCTCTGTTCTGTGACATCTGGAACTTCATCTGAAGACTCAGGCTGGGACTGGTGTCATCTGAAGTCCTGTGCACTTGCAAGTCAGGCAGCTGTTGGTAGCTGTCAGCTGGGGTTATCCACGAGACTCTGTACATGTGGTTTCTCCAGGTGGGCTGGTTAGGCTTCCTCATAATATGGCTGCTGAGTTCTAAGAACAGGCAGGCTAGAGGGAGAGGAAGAAAGGAAGAGGAAGCCAAGGACACCCATGGGACCTAAGTTTGCCTTAAGAAAATCAAAGTAGGGGCTGGAGAAATGGCTTATGGTTAAGAGCACTGATTGCTCTTGTAGAGGACCTGGGTTCAATTCCCAGCACCCATATGGCAGCTAACAACCATCTGTAACTCCAGTTCCAGGGAATCCAGCACCCTCTTCTGTCCTCCATGGGCATTGTACAACACAGGTGCTCTTACATACATGCAGCCAATACACTCATACGCATAAAATAAAAATAAAAAAAATTTTTTTTGGTCTTTTGTGAGACAAGGTCTCCCTGTTGCCCCAGCTGGCCTAAAACTTACTATATAGACCAGGGTGGCCTTGAATTCACAGAGATCCACTTGCCTCTGCAGCTGGGAGTAAAGGCATGTACCACTATGCCTGGCTATAAAATATTTTTAAAAATAAGCAAATAAAATATTTTTTTAAAAAGCAAACCAAAATAGTCACTAAGTCTTACCACATATAAAGAGAAACAAACTCTACTTTATGTGAAATGACAAGGTTCTAAAATAGCTTGAGCCAGGGGCTAGTTCAGTGGCAAAGCACATGCTTAGGGCATGCCTGAGGCCCTGACTTAGAGCCCAGTACTACATAAATAAGTATGGGACCAGAAATGCTGCAGTGGCCTTCTGTAGAAGAACAACCTGCCACAGTCTTCTTCCAGTTCACATCCTCTCACATGCTAAATTCACTCACCTCCCCGCTAATGTCGCTTAAAATCTTAGCACATGATGGCATCAGACTCAGGCTTGAAGGTCAGGATTTCAGTGAGGTCAGGCTATGTGTCAGTGAGATTCCATGCCTACAGTTCCACTTGATCTGAAGACTTAGGCACTAAAAGGCAAGTAATCCTCCCACTGTTCCACAGCATATAAAAAGATGAAGCACAGGATAATTCCCATTCCAAAAGGAAAAAGCAGGGCATACAAAGGCGTCACTGACCCAGAGCAGATGTCTTTCTGTTCCCATAGCTTTAAAGACCAGTACATTCCTGATTTCCCAATTTTCTAACATCTCTGAGCACTGTTGTAGAATAGTCCGTTAACCATTTTGTACCTTTATAAATATCTCCTACGCATTGTTTTCTCCTTTACCCCACTTCCTCCTCAAACCTAACCCTAACCTGCCCCTGTCCTGGCTCATGTTCTCCCACTCCTGCTGCTCAGACCAAAACTCAGGACTCAGTCTTGATTCTTTTCCCCCGCTTTCTCAGTCTGCACCCCATTGTCAGCATGTTTGATATTCTCCACACTGCTTTTTCTTCTCCCGTGGATTTAGCAATGTCCTTCATTCTTTATCCTTTCTTCTCCTTGATGCAGTAGCCAAAGGCAACTTTAGTTTGTGCTTCACTGTGGCACTTTCTTGCTCAAAATTTTCTGTGACCTCTTGTCACCCTTTGAGTGAAATCCAGCTCTGTTACTATGGTCTAAAGGGCCTTGGCCTCTCCCTCTGACTGACTGTACTTCTTGTTACTTTGACTTTTACCCACTAGCCTCGCCTTCTCCAAGCATCTTTTGGTTCCTCAAATGCAGTAGGCTCTCATAATGTGTTCCCTCTGCCTAAAGCATCCTGACTTACCACTTCCAAATAAATCAGTTTCTTTTGTATTTAGAGGTATGGCATGACTGGTCAGTCAAACTACGTACTACACTCTGGTATTCTGCCACCCTATTGTTAACTTTGTAAAATGTATCCCTCTTCTAAGTTGTATCCTGTTAATTGTTTACCATCTAGCCCCCTAGCCAGATGGAACACTCCACTAGCTCAGGGACTGTCTCTGATATTCACCAATATCTATCCAACGCCAGAGTGCCCTGTAATATGAACTGTTTACTGATGTTGTTTAAAGGGACAATTTTTTTTTTTTTTTTTTTGGTCTTTTTGAGACAGGGTCTTCCTGTAGCCCCAGCTGTCCTGGAACTCATTATGTAGACCCGGCTGGCCTTGACCTCACAGAGATCCGCCTGCCTCTGCCTCCCAGAGTGCTGGGATTAAAGGCTGGGACTAAAAGCATATGCCACCACACCCGGCCTAAAGGGACAATTTTGAGATAATACAGTTTATACTTACAATGTTAAGTGCATCACTTCCAAGTTCTCACTGAGAATAGCCTTGTGCTTCTCTTTCAGTAACTGCCCTTCCTTTTTGGCTGCTGCTTTAGCCAGAGCCACATCAGATGAAGTCCTCCAGAGTGACCTTTCTGCACACTGCATCCCAAAGGAAACGGACGGCACAGAAGGGACTGTGGGTGAGCACCTTTCCACATTATCTGCTTGAAGATACTAAAATATTCTGTGTATAGTAGTCCAAAATATCTGTGGCATATGAGATCCAATTATATTTACCCACTACTGACTATATAGTGGTAGTAAGGAAATTGGTTTTTAAATTTATTTTATTTTATGTGTATGAGTGTTTTGCTTGCATGTATGTAAATGCACTCATGCATGCAATACCTGTGGAGGTAGGGTTGTTAGCTGCCATGTGGGTGTTAGGAACCAAACCTGGGTCCTCTGCAAGAGCAGTCAAGTGCTCTAAATCACTAAGCTATCTCTCCAGCCCCTGGAAAAAACCTTTTTTTAATTTTTGGTCTTTTTGAGACAGGGTCTCCCTGTAGCCCCAGCTGTCCTGGAACTCACTATGTAGACCAGGCTGGCCTTGAACTCACAGAGATCTGCCTGCCTCTGCCTCCTGAGTACTGGGTTCAAAGGTGTGCGCCACTACGCCTGGCTAGAATAGTTTTTTTAAAGACAGGGTCTCCTGTAGCCCCAGCCAGCCTGGAAATCACTATATCTTGACCTCACAGGGATCCGCCCACCTCTGCCTCCCGAGTACTGAGATTAAAGGCATGCTGGCTAAGAAAAAATTTTTAAGTGAATAAAAAGAAGCAAGATAGAAAATCCGGGGCTGGAGAGATGGCTCAGTGGTTAAGAACACTGGTTGTTCTTGCAGAAGACCTGGGTTTGAATCCCAGCACCCCCATGGCAGCTAACAACTGTCTATAACTCCAGTCCCAGGGGATCCGACAGCCTCTTCTGACCTCCATGGGCATTGCTGGACACGGGTGCACTTACCTACATGCAGGCATTACACGCATACACATAAAAAAATAAAAAAAAAATTAAAAAAGAAGATAGACAATCCAAGCATATTTTGAAAAAGGTAGCAAAATAAGTGGAAGGTAATTGAAACAACAAGAAATTTTCACCACCATCTAGACAAATGGTAGGGCTGTAAAAATGAATCCACAAGAGTTGGGCATAGTCCCCGGTGCCTGCAGCCCTGGCTGCTTGGGTCTAGTTTCAGGTAGGCTTAAACAATGAGCAAGACCTTGTCTCAGTGTTTTAAAAAAGGCAAGTTTAGCTCTTAGCCTCAGCCTTTAAGTTTAGCCAGGTGTAGTGGTGTACACCTTTAATCCCAGCACTTGGGAGGCAGAGGAAGGAAGATCTCTGTGAGTTCAAGGCCAGCCTGGTCTATATAGTGAGTTCCAGGACAGCTGGGACTACCAGGAGACCCTGTCTCAAAAAAAAGACAAAAAAAAAAATTTAATGTACAACAAAGATGAGTGGGTGAAGACAGCATTTAAGGAAAACTCTTATCTTTAAAGATAGAAGTAAAACAATGTAATAATTTTTCTTTAAAAGTCAGTTGTAACAAAACTCGTTAATGTTGTTAAATTCTAAATGTACCAAAAGAGAGTTCTGACAAATACACTATTTAATTGCATGGATCACTGTACATCTTTGTTGGTAGTAAGGTTATGAGACTCAGTAGCCCCTCCCACCCTCAACTCAGGCACTAATGGAATTGAGCCCAAGGACACAAACATGATATAGAAGCAAGTGCTCCACTGCTGAGCTGTGCGTACACACACACACACACACACACACACACACGCACGCACGCACACACACACACACACACACACACGCACGCACACGCACGCACGCTATTATAAGTTTCATTTTGAGATAGGGTCTTGCCAAGTTGCCCAGGCTGGCCTTAAATCTGTCCTCCCACCTCAGCAACCTGAGCAACTGGACTACAGGCATGTGCCACCAACTCCACCTTCAGTTCCTTAATCAAGGCAAATTTGTTAATGTATTAGCCTTATACTTGACAGGGTTTAAAAAAACTTCGCATAAAAATCCGAGAATTACTACCCCACCACACACTTGCTTTTTCAGTGCTGGGAATGGAACCCAGGGCATTGTGAATGCTAAGTATGTGGTCTACCAACTGAGTAGCACCCCAGTCTACTACCCCCACATTTTAAGGGTAATACTTCATTGGTATTCTTTTTGCTTTCAGACAGGATCTCAACTATGTAGACTTAGGCTTCAGTCTATCCTGCTCTAGTCTCCCACTGTCCTCTCCTGAGTTCTGGGATCACAGCGTCTGTTATAAAGCCCAGACTATTCTGTTTGTTCTAAGCTTTTGCTCATCAATATGACACATAAAAAACAAAGCATATATAATAAATTGAAAGGAATTCCAGAGACTATGAGGCGGACATACAAGTAAACACTCCTGCTCTTCCTTTAGCTTTTAGATCATCTGGGACAGACAATTATCAAGGAAGGAATTACTGCTTGTTTTTACTTAGGATAATTGATTCACCTAGAGCCAAACTGTCCCAGAGCCAAGTTGAATAGATTTCCTTCTACAGAGCACTGGTCTTTCCTCTGGTACTGATGCATAAAGTAACACCCTTGTAATGAAAAGACTAGTGAGCAAGCTTAAATTCTGCTTCACTGCGGTGATGGCTGACTCAGTTCCAGCTCCGCATGGTGACATTAACGACTGATGAGTAATTTACAGCTGCGAGGGGGTGGACTGCTACTTGGGATGATTTTCCCTTTTTCACGCCCCTTGTTTTATTTTATTTTTCCATCTGAAGTGGCTATTATCTGTACGCTAATGTCCTTCAGCACTCTTGCAGTAGACTGTAGCAAGAAGTACTGCCCTACATGCCGACCTGGGAAGGGATGTGTGACCCCTGTAAGATGAAGAAAGCAAAATAATGGGCTTTTCTTTGGGGGATGTCATCCATCATTCGGATTTACAATTTTTTCCTGGAGATCACTTAGAAATGTCTCCATGCTACTGAGATTCAGACTCCACTGTAATTCTAAACTATTTGCAAATCCTTTATTTAACACAAGTCACTAGGTGTGAAACACCCACAGGAGAGTCTCTTCAGGGGACACGGTGTTTATCTGTACATTAAATACATTACTGTGGGAAGATGGCATACTGCACAGGGCCTGCAGTTGATGGCGCTGACCCCTCTCAAATGCCTTTTTGTCCCTCTTCTTCATTATCTAAAAAAAAGTATGTAAAAAGAAGCAACTTGAGGGACTCAGCAGTTAAGAGCACTGGCTGCTCGTGCAGAGGACCTGGATTCAAATTCCAGCACCCCCGTGGCAGCTAAACCGTCCAGTTCCAGGGGAATTCAACACTCTTCTGACCTCTGTGGGCATTGCATGACACAAGTGCACTTATATACATGCAGGAAATACACTCATACACATAAAATTAAAAACCAATAAATAAAGCAATTTGAGCTGGGCGTGGTAGTGTATAAGCCTGTGAGTCCAGCACCAGGGAGGTTGGGCAGGTTCCAGACCAGCCTCAGCCACTTTGTAAGACACTATCTTAAAAAAAAAAAAACAAAATGGCTGGGCGTTGTGGCACACGCCTTTAATCCTAGCACTTGGGAGGCAGAGGCAGGCGGATCTTTGTGAGTTCGAGGCCAGCCTGGTCTACACAGTGAGATCCAGGACAGCTGGGGCTACAAGGAGACCCTGTCTCAAAAAAGGGCAAAAACAAAACCAAACAAAACAAAACAAAGAACTCTTAAAGTTCTTTACATGTTTGTCACTGCTAGCAGAATATCCGAGTGACCTTGTCTTAATAGAAATATAATTTGATTTAATTTAAATAGAAGTATAATTTGCAATGTCTCAATGAAAACAAAAACAAGGGAAAGTTATCACTACTGTGAGGAAAGTAACAGAATTATGAAATGTAAATAAATTTGAAAACTTGGATATTTCCTAGGAAAATTTAAATTGACCAAGTTTATCTAAGAAAGAGATGGAGAAAACTGTCAGAGAAAAAACAGGCAGAGGAGGAGATTTACAGGTGAACATCTTCAAACATTAATGATCCATTCCAGTGCTTTTTAGAATGAATATTCTAATTGGACAAAGAAGAAAAATACCATAATGTTGACACCAAAACCTGCCTAACACAGAGCTAAAGAAGGAAGACTCTGGAGCAGGAGCGATGGCTTAGTGATTAAGAGTACTTACTGCTCTTCCGAAGGACTCAGATTCAATTCCCAGCACCCACATGGTAGCTAACAATCTGATGCCCTCTTTCGGCCTCTGAGAGGGCACAGGCATGCACATGGTACACTTACATATATGCAGGCAAACCACTCATATACATAAAATAAAAATAAATTTAAAAAATGGAAGAATCCATCCTTAGTAATCAATGTGAAAATCTTAAATAAGCCAGGTTAGTGGCACAAGTCTGTAATTGCAGAACTCAAGAGGCAGAGGCAGGAGGACCTCAAGCTTGAGAGGTAGCCTGGGATACATGGGAAGCCCTATTTCCAAAAACAAGCAAGCAAACCAACAAATAAATAAGCAAAGTTAAAAGTATTTGTATATTGACTAAAAGAGTTCAATCAGTAGTTATTTAAAAATTTTTTACCATTATTTATTGTGTGTGGCATCACTACACATATGTGGCAGTCAGAGGATAACTTATGGGAGCTATTTCTCTCCTTCCACCACGAGGATCCTGAAGATCATTGAACTCAGGTCGTCAGGCTTGGTAGCAAGCGTCCTGTCCACGGAGCCATTTCCCCAGTTCTCAACCAGTATGTTACCAAGGGTGTATAGTATAGGCAGAATTTGGCTCAAATCAAAATCTAGTATTTATGCTTAATGTATACTTTCGGCTGTTAATTACCACAAGTCAAATTGGCTTCAGTAAAATAATTTGTCAAGGACAGCACAGGTACCTTTAGGTGGCATCAGACAAACCCAGTATTGCGTCAGCACTCAGCTGAACTATCTTTCATTTTGATTTTATTTTCATATTGAGCAGAAAAACAAGATTAGCTTTTCTCAGTTGCTCCTCTAGAAGCCACAGGATTTACTCTTAACTGGCCCTGCTTGGATAGTTTCATTTCTGAGCCAGTCACTGTGTGCAGAGGACTGTGATTCTCTA